GGGGTAGGGACTACAAGAGGGGGGTTTGGACCACAGTGGACGTTGGCAAAAAGGATGAAGTTGTATCACTGTCATTGCTGTTATTTCTATCGTGACTGCTGTGGGTGTTGCTATTCTAAACTGTCATCACTGTCCACTGTCATTATTTCATATAACTATTACTTTTATTATTATTGTCATGGGAATTATATAATCAGGAAGAATCAATAACACTGTTCTTATTGTGACCAGTGTCATTATTATCGTTATTGTGTATACTGTATTCATTATCTTCATTATCATCATTACTATCTTTACACTGCCATTATTTCATTGCGATTAACACTGTTATATGTCAGCTTCTATCGATATTACTGACATCATTATCAGTTATGATGAAGTTACTGTTCTCGACATTTTCACAATAAGCATTATGGTAATGAAGGTGTTAAAGGCATTAATCACTGTCGCTTACCATTACAATTACATATTACTATCATTGCCAATAAAAAACGGAACATACCTTTTTAATTTTTCATAACGGGTATTACTTATCTTGTAATACTTATCATTATTATTAGTATTACGATTAATATTGTTATAATAATAATAATAATAGTAATAACAACAACAACAACAATAATAATAACAATAATAATAATAATAATAATAATAATAATAATAATAATCACAAAGATGATGCTAACGATAATAAAAGCAACAAAAATTACAACAATGATGATAAAAATCACTAACATCGCTCAGCAAAACGGTAATGCTGAAAAATTAATGAACGAATAAATAGATAGATAAATAATGAATAAAGAATAGAGAAAAGATAGAAAGCGAAATCAGACAAGTAAATAAACAGACCAATCAATAACAAAAATTACAAAAGCTAGTAGCTGGCATTTCCATAAAGGTTTCACATTTTTTTAGAGGATGTGCCAATGCCTAGGGATATTTTGGCAACAATGGTAATAATATCTAGTATCCATGACGGTTTAATATAAAACATCATGAACATCATCTTTTTAAATCAATATTATCCTTATTACTATCATAATTACTGTCACCATCATAATTACCATTTATATCATACTTATTATCATCTTTCTTATTGTCATTATTGTTATCATTATTATTATCATTATTATCATTTTTATTATTATAATAATTATTAAAATTAGTATCATTATTATTATCATTATTATCATTATTATTATTACTATTATTATTATTATTATTATCATCAGTATTATCATTATCATTATCATCATCATTATCATTATCGTTGTTGTTATTATCATCCTCATTAATATCATTACTATTACAATTATCATTACTATTACTATTATCATTACTAATACTACTACTGTATAATTATTACTATTATTATTAGTAATAGTAGTAGTAGCATTATCATCATTATTAACAATGTTATTATTATTACTTATTGTAATGCTGTCTTCCTTTTATATCTTGGACATGTTAACTAGATATAGATTAAAGCCTCAGGATAGGATTCATACGGCACTCTAAATTACATCAGATGACACCACAAGATCATATGTTCGGGTACCTTTGATACTACTACTACTACTACTACTACTACTACTACTACTACTACTGCTGCTGCTGCTGCTGCTGCTGCTGCTGCTGTTAAAAATACACTACAAAGCCCGTGGCATATCATAACTGTGAATATGAAAAAAGTAATTTGAAAGTGAGGCGTAAAGAGTTCGAAAGAGTTAATGAGGAAGGAAAAGGTGTTAGCAAGGTGTCAAGCGGGAGAGGTGAGAGGGGAAGTTTCAGGTGCGAATAGACGGGCAGTTATGATATACCAGATGGCTGTCTGGAGAGCAAAGGCGCGCTCCTGAGAGAGTTCGGTAACGATATATCTGAGGGGAAATGTGTACGTTACGAGGGGAACGGCTCACCTGCGTAAATATGAGCCAGACGGTATGATCTGCCTAGGGGGGGGGGGGAGGTGGCATGCGAAGATGGCCTTAAAAGGTATTTGGGGCTTGTACCTGATTGATGTTTGTAGCTTCAGGGAAAATGCCTCAAAATCAGGGACTTAATTATATTTATGTAATATAGAAGGCGAAATATGTACCAAGGGATCGGATCAAAACAATAACCGGAACATTACACTTGTTTCTTCTCGGAATTATATGACGGATGGAACAATAAACAGGTTTCACTTGTTCTTCATCTGAAAAAGTTTGCCAATGGACATATTAATATAACGCCAACTCTAGAACATTCGGACGCTTTGATAGTGAGACGTGAAAACAACAAATCAAGCGAAATGAGCGACGAGCCATGAAAGCGATGACGCTAAAAAGAAAGGGACATTCAGCCGAGGAAAAGATGCCGGTTTTCTTGGAGCAGGAAGAGAGGGAAGCAGGGGAGAAGGAAGGCAGAAGAGGGAGATGGAAGAAGGTGGGGATTGCGGTGGGAATGAAAGGGAGGAGGAAGGGGGGAGGGTTAGAGGGAGAGAAGGGGGATAGGATGAGGGGAAAGGCAGGGGAGAAGAGTGATGTAGAACGGAATGTAGTAAGAAAAGATGGAGGATAAGACTGATGGGCAAAAGGAAAGAAGGGGCGAGTGGTGGA